GAGTAGAGGAAGAATATACTTTGCAGGCTGCACTTGATTCCAGTAAAAAAACATTAATTGAAGGCAGTTCAGATGTCTTACAGGTGAAAATCCACTGCTAGTACATACACCTGGTTTGCATGAACAGCTTGAATAATCACTTAGATAAGTGCTTTTCAATAAGCTGAACACAGCTTATATGGGTTTGCCATTTCAACTATACCTTTTTAAAAGCTGTTTTAAAGCTTATTCTGATAATCTAAGCTTTTCAAAAGCCATAAGTTGTTTTATAAGCATATGCATACATGGTAAACAAAAGTTTAAGTTCTTGTAGCAGTAGATAAGTTGATACTAAGCTCATCCAAACTTGGTTGTAGTCTGATTTCATCGTGAACCTTTTGAGTATTCTTATTTTTTTTAATTTTTTTTTTTTTTATAAATTCAGAATCTGCCAATGCTGCTGTTTTCAAAGTTTACTTTGCCCCCCTCAACCAAACCTTCCAATAAATTTTTTTAAAAAAAATGATTGAAGCTTTGAATAGAGTCCAACAGTGGTGGTTGAGAATGATCTGTAATAGTTTTGAATGTGTTAATGGTTTTCTTCAGACCTTGCTGCCCTTAAGGCTTTCAATGATGAATAGCATTTCCATTATTCCTGTTACATGTATCAATGTTGTATCATTTTCATAATTGGATTCTGCACTTCAGGAGTTTCAACGGCTTCTTAATGAAGACATGGAACTACTAGTGAAATTGAGAGAAATGATTATCAACTGGGTACAAGAAGGCTTTCAAGAATTTTTCAGGAAACTTGAGAATCAGTTCCTCTTGCTCTCTGGAAAGAAGTATTTTTCTGGACAGGATCAAAACTTGGGGGAACGAAAGCAGGGTGACAAAATCCTTCCTGGACTTGTTCTTGTGCTATCTCAGCTATCTATTTCCATTGAACAAAGTGTCATCCCAAGAATTACAGAGGCAAGGAATTGTCTCATAGTTAAATTTTATACTACCTGGCTTTCCAACTTTTGCACAATTATATATTCCAGAGTGGCCTTATGGGCCTTATAGTGTAATTGTTTAAATTTTCAGGAAATAGCTGCTTTTTCTGGTGGAGGAGCTCGGGGCTATGACTATGGCCCAGCTTACGTCCCTGCAGAAATTTGCCGCACCTTCCATTCAGCAGGTGAAACGTTCTTGCATATGGTATGAAGCCTAGCTTTTCTATTATTAATGTCTGCAACAAGTTTCACATGCATATATTTTCATGTGCATATCTATATCATATTGTCTTGAATTTACATGATTTTTTATGGTGCATATTTATAATATGATTACATCTAGGGATATGTAGGAATTTACTATTCCACCTTGTTAAGAGTCCCACATTGAAAAATAAGAGAGAAAGTTGTGGGTTTATAAGACCATGGGTTAGACTAGCTATTGGATTGGATTCAATCTTTTAGTGTGGTTGGGTTAGACTAGCTATTGGATTGGATTCAATCTTTTAGTGTGGTTTGGTCCATGTGCATTATAGCCTAGTTGAGTGATCTTAGCCTAGTCTTAGATTCTAACACACCTAGAACTTAATCTGTGGAATTTGGACAGCATTCAAACTTTATGGTCATATAGATAGTCAACGGAAATTTAGTTTATGTGATTCTTCTACAGTGGAATTTTAATCTGTTTTAAGTGTAGTGTCAATGTTCATATATGAACTCTTAAGGGGCCATTTGGTTCAGATAACACAATCCATGAATACAATGATTCCAAATTTTGGGACTTTTTTTGGGGCCCACAGATTAAATGTAGGACAAAATGTGAAGCAAACAATGAACTGGATAGGATTGGAAGTTCAATCCCATCCAATCCCAGCTACCAAATGACCACATAAGGTTCTTAATCCACAGCCAATTCATTTCGATGTTTTGATCTTCATTCAAAATAGTCTACTTTTCAATGTTTGACTCAGTAGTACCTTTCTTCTGTGATTTAATGTTTGAATCTGAGTAAGCATGCTAATTCAGACCTCTTCCTTTCAGTATATAGATACGCGAACTCAAAAATTATCAGTTGTATTGAAGAAGAGGTTTACAACTCCAAACTGGATGAAGGTGAGAAAATTATTTAGAAACATTTGTCATCTAAATTTAATCTTAGCTTTTGCTAATATTGCACTGCCTTATTCATCTAGCACAAGGAGCCCAGGGAAGTTCATATGTTTGTTGATCTGCTTCTTCAAGAGGTGAGAGTAGACCGCCCATCTTTCTTCTCCATGTTGTAAGATTAGGTTCCAATAACTAGAATTGATGTTTGGAGTTTGAGGGGTTCTCCCTCTTTCTTTTCATTCTGAATATTTTGTTGAGATCTATTGTCTTCTTCTGAAGAATGAACAAACTCATAGATGATCGGGACTTGGGAGAAATAGTCTTGTTTAAAAAAATATATATATCAAGGGGAAAGATACTTGATCTGAGAAAATTGACCTTTTTTACTAAATAAATTTCATTGGTAGTTGGATGCAATAGGTAATGAAGTAAAGCAGGTATTACCTGAAGGGCTTAATAGAAAACATCGACGTACTGACAGCAATGGAAGCACTACTTCCTCACGCAGTAATCCGCTAAGAGATGATAGGTTGAGCCGGTCAAATACCCAGAAAGCCAGGAGTCAGCTTCTGGAGACCCATCTAGCAAAATTGTTTAAGCAAAAAATGGAGATCTTTACCAAAGTTGAACACACACAGGTTTGGGCTTTCTTGTGGTTGTTTAGTAAGCTGCATTTTAAGTGAGAAAACAACAAAAATATCATTACCTTTTTATTTTTCAGGAATCAGTTATGACTACTATAGTCAAACTTTGCTTGAAAAGTTTGCAAGAGTTTGCCCGACTTCAGACATTCAACCGTAGTGGATTTCAGCAAATTCAGTTGGACTTCCATTTTCTGAAGACTTCTCTAAAGAATGCTGCTGAAGATGAAGCTGCCGTGGACTTCTTACTCGACGAGGTGAGTGGATTATATTTGAATATTTGATGTTTAAACTGTGAATTTTAGTTTATGCTTTCTGCACACCTTGAACTTATAGGAGAGTTCATTTCTGCAATTCTGTGTAGTCCTCCATCTCAAATTTTCAGTCTTGATCCATAAGTAGTTTGCAATTGCTCGTCTAGTACTTCATATCTCGAAACATCAACTTCCATAATAATCTGAAACTTTCGGCCACTGGAATTATGGTTGTAGGTCATTGTTGCTGCTGCAGAGCGGTGTATTGATCCCGTTCCTTTGGAACCCGCGATACTGGACAAACTTGTCCAAGTGAAGTTGGCGAAGATTTGAGAGCTTCTAACTCCAAGATAAGAGTATCAGTTGCAAGATGACAGTTTTGGTGTAGATTGCCTGACTTTCTTCCCCTATAGCATCCAAGTCTCTGAAGCTCTCTCTGCCTATAATCCTCCAGATTCCAGCTGAAGCTTTTTGTCTCAATTTTCAGGATTTTATTGTCTCATCACATAGCAACTTCAGTTATCATTCTGTGATTTTCATTGATATAAAGGGCCACTGTATAGAATCATAATGTACTCTCATGCTTTCCAATTCAACAGCCACAACAAACATTATTCGAGGATTAAAGAGATTTGAGAATTTCTATTTTATTTTCATTCTTGGTATGTTGAACACTACTGATGAAGATTTTCAATCGCCATATATTTTATAGTTTATTATGAGTGGCAAAAGATTTAGAAAAATGATCATTGAGTGACGAAGGAAACGCGTAGTCACTATCCAGAAATGTATATTGGGTAAATCACACCTTGTGATCTTAGCAGGTGAATAATCACAAAAAATGTAAGTCAACTTAAGTTGTTCATAATCGATCGGTTCAAAGGCTAATAGGTACTTCTGTGGCTCCCCTTGAGGAAAGGTTATATGTTTTAATTGTCTTGTAATGAGAAATTAATTTCTAATTTGCTCATTGAAAGTCCAAAGTGAAGTTTAGAAATTATTAACAGGAGAAGACTATAAAGCAGGCCAAGACTTCGAATTATGAAAGTAGCAAAAACAAGCATTCTCTTATCAATTGACCATGTCTAGTATTTTAGTCATATATTTGGGTCTAAATGAGGTAATTCAAGTGACATATAAGTAACTGACTACAATATTTTGAGGACACCAATGCCTAAATTTGAGGTGAAAAAATCACGTTAAAGATGAACTAACGAATTTGTCCAAAAACTACAACAATTTTGGAAAAATATAAGCACGAAGATACAACCTTAGCTGCTTAGGACAACACTCAGTGATTTCTTATTCGTGAAATTATACTATTTATTGTGATATTCATATACAAGAATCATGATTCTCCACTTAGCCATTTCTTTCGGAATTAAAAATCACTTGATATTATATATTGTTGAGAAAAAACATGATCAATTTCATATACAAAATAAATAAATAAATAAATAAAAACTTAGTTTGTCCTAAATTGACTAACGATGGAATAATTCTGTCCAAATTGAGAAGTGAGGATCACATTACATATGGGGCACTAATTGAGGGACCAAAAGTGCGATTTCTCCTATGAAATTATTAAGAGTATTTTTGACCTTTTCAAGTTAAGATCCAAATTTGAGCACGAATAAATGAATTTAAATCCTAAGATTTATTTCAATTCGCAGTTCTCCTCCTTAAATTAAGGTTAGACGAGGAGGAGAATTGCGAATTGAAATTGATCTTAGGGCTTAAATCTATTTATTTATGCTCAAAATTAGAATTTTAAGTTGAAAAAGATGAAAATACTCTTAAAATTTTTAGATTTTGACATGTAACGGGGAGCGATTGGCCTGATAAATTGTAGCATTAAAATAATAATCGTGAAAGAAAATTGCTAAGAATTAATTATGTGAACCATAATTATTATTTTGCTAATACTCATACGAACTAAAATTGGTTTCTTTTTATTTTTATTTTATTACTATATACTCCGTATATCTTAGCTCAAAACGGCAAAACCCTAACCCCCTTCCAATTTCTAAAATTCAATTTTCAGTTTTTTCACTCTCTTCACCCCGACTTGGACTTCCTCCCGCGGCGGACTGGCGGTGTAGTGACGACGTGCGGCGACTCCCTCTAAGTAGGTTGGTCTTCTACTTTCTTTTACCCTGTGTTTTGAGAGTGGTCATTATTTTGTGGCCTTGTTTTCTGCTGTTTTTTTGTATATTGATTGAACCTTCAAGCATAAGAAAGATGTTATTGTTGAATCTTCATAGAGTTTCAGTGTTGACCTAATTTGTTTGGCCTTACCTATTTTCAACCCTACTCACTCGCCTCCTTTCCTCATTGCCCCATTCTTCTCTCAGACTTTGAGCAGCAACGCCCTCGCGTTTTCTACCTTTACAAACCCGGACACCTTATTATCATAAGACTAGAAGAAGAATGGCAGAGAACGGAGAAGAAGAGAAAACATTCAAAGAGTTAGGAGTCTGTGACCAGCTAGTGGAGGCTTGCGAAAATTTGGGCTGGAAAACCGCTTCTAAGATTCAAGCAGAGACTATTCCTCATGCTCTTGAAGGTTCACTTTGTTTTTTTTTTTTTTTTTTTTTTTTTTTTTTTTTTTTTCTTTTTTCCGTTTATATTCCATGTTATAGTTGCTGAGGTTCTAAATTGAAACTGTTTACGGTTTTAGGGAAAGATATAATTGGGCTTGCACAGACAGGCTCAGGAAAGACTGGAGCTTTTGCAATTCCAATACTGCAGGCGCTCATAGATGCTCCTCAAGCGTTCTTTGCATGCGTGCTGTCTCCTACACGGTTTCTGCTTTTGATTTTTTTTTTTTTTTTGATTTGATTTATTGCCTGCTTTTGTGTTGGAAGCTCTGGTTTTTATTTATTGTTTTATTTTCTGTTTCAGGGAGCTTGCTATTCAAATTTCGCAACAGTTTGAAGCTTTAGGAGCTGGAATTGGTGTCAAATGTGCAGCGGTAAGCTTTCCAGGTCTTCTATTTGAATTTGGTCATAAACTTAGAGGGTTCAGGAAGCTGGGCAGGGACAAATGAGATATTTATATTGATATACTCTTTTTCTTGCTTTTCAAAATAAATTATCTTGCACAATTGTCTTGCAGCTTGTTGGAGGACTTGATCAAGTACAGCAGAGCATTATGCTTGGAAAACGACCACACATTCTTGTAAGTATCACGGCTTTCATATCTGGTCATTTTGTCCTTTCTTAATATCCTTATAAATGGCTTTCAAGTTGTATCCAAGGCTGTTCTCAACTCACTGATTTCTGATGAGATGAATTGTTGTGCAGGTGGCAACACCTGGTCGGCTCTTAGATCATCTGTCGAATACCAAAGGCTTTTCACTCCGCGCCTTGAAGTATTTGGTATGCAATTGTCTCTCTTCTGCTTGTTTGAGTTCTGGTTGCCTATCTATTTACTTGTGAAACTTTTGTTCTTTTGTTTAATACAGGTGTTGGATGAGGCAGATAGGTTACTGAATGAGGATTTTGAAAAAGCACTTGATGATATTTTGAATAATACTCCCCGTGAGAGAAGGACATATTTGTTTTCTGCCACCATGACCAAAAAGGTTTGTATAAATGTATAATATTTTTGTTGTGGGGAAGAAGAACTGTTACCTCTATGAAAAGGCATAAATCTAGATAAACAACATTGTGGAAAACATAGTTTTATTTTCTCACCTGTGAGCATTAATTGCAGTCTGGTATGATTTCTATGTATTGCATTCAATATATAGGTGCTTAAGTTTTTCTTTGGACTTTGTGTATCGCATGTTGACACTATTGGTGCCATTAATAAGTTATGTTTTACCATCTATTTCCATTTTTTTTCATGTGTTACAATTAATTTATTTGTTTCTGCTAGGTAATGTCCTCCCTTTTCTATAGATAATTTCTGCTGCTCATTATAGAGCATAAGTAACAATAACTCTATTGCATATATACATCCTCTGGAAAATACACATAAGAAGAAACAAATTTTCCCTATTATTGCTTTGTTATTGAAGGCTAAACTTTTCTGGAATATTTGTTGCTTGGAAGATATGGCTGAGGAATTATTGACAGAATAAAAATGTCATTAGTGATTATCCAACTGAAAAAAGTGTCATTCTTAATATTGTAGGTGAAAAAACTCCAGAGGGCTTGTCTAAGGAATCCTGTAAAGGTAACATGATCTTTCTCATGACAGTAAGCTTTGATGGTTTGGCTGATGAAGTTTTGATTTCTTATAACATTGCATTTCAGATTGAGGCTGCCTCAAAATATTCCACAGTTGATACTTTAAAACAGCAGTATCGCTTTATTCCTGCAAAATATAAGGTTTGCCACCCCCACTCATTGTTATACTGTGTTTTTCAATGTTGTAAGTCAGATTAAATCTAATGATGGTATGTATTGAATGATTTTTTTGATGAAATGCCAAGTAGACCCAGGTAAGTATTGATGAATCTCCCATCTGTTGCACTGAGATTCGATCTGAACCATGTTGTTGTTGTTTTTTTATTTTCTTTTTTCTTTTTTCTTTATTTTGTGTTGAAATATTGAATATTGTTCACTGTCACAGGATTGCTATCTCGTCTATATACTGACTGAGATGTCTGGGAGTACGTCGATGGTTTTCACACGCACATGTGATGCGACTCGTCTTTTAGCTTTGATGCTTCGAAACCTTGGCCTAAGAGCCATACCAATTAGTGGCCAGATGAGCCAGGTTACTGCTCTCGCCTTTGTTTAGTTTGAAGACTAGCGCATCTCTTTTAAACTCAAGTTCTCTTATCTTCCTTAAGTCTACTGTTCTATTCAAAGCATATACCCCCTCCGTCGAAAGAAATGAGATTATCGCGGATACTCCCCCAAAAACATGTTTTTTTTACCAATTTGTAGACAAATGTGGCAGGGAAAAAGACTTGGGGCATTAAACCAATTCAAGGCTGGAGAGAGCAACATTCTTATTTGTACTGATGTTGCAAGTCGAGGGCTTGATATTCCATCTGTAGATATGGTTATTAACTATGATATACCCACAAACTCTAAGGTCAGGCATCATTGTTTACCATTTTAAATTGTTATATGCTGTGTGCTCTTTGTAAGTATATAGAATCTCTAAATCCTTAACCCAACTACTGGTTGTGAGATTTGATGCTGTCTTTTTTTTTTTTTTTTTTTTAAATAATCCTGTTCCTTTTTTTTTTTTTAAATAATCCTGTTCCTTTTTTTTTTTTTTGCCTTTTACTGTTTTTGTTTTTATCCAATAAAGGGAATCCTTTGAGATTCATTCATAAGTGCAAAATAAATGAAATTTCATCAACAATTTGTTCTCATAACACTGCTTTTGACATGAACTTTGTAAAAGTTAATGCTTCAAACTTGCAACTGTGCCAAGCATATTGCTTTTCTATGTTCCCTGGTTGATGATAGCCTACACACCAGTGAAGCCTTTTACTTCATTTCAACATGAACTTTGTAATCTAAATGTTTTGAACTTATGACTTTCCATTATGCATTGCCTTCTATTCTCCATGATTGATGATTGCTGACACTAAATAAAGTTTCTATTTTCTCGTGTCTTCTGTATTCACAAAATGACCTGCAGGATTATATACATCGAGTAGGAAGAACTGCTAGAGCAGGACGATCTGGAGTTGCGATTTCACTAGTGAATCAATATGAGTTGCAGTGGTATTTACAGATAGAAAAACTCATTGGTAAGCAATGCAGGTTTCTGGTAGTTGTCCAATTGATGACGACTGTTCCTTGGGTATAAGAGTTTATTTTTATATCTTACTCAGGTAAGAAGTTGCCCGACTATCCTGCTCCAGAGGAGGAAGTTTTACTATTTCTGGATCGTGTAACAGAGGCCAAAAGAATCTCCCATACGGTGTGCACCTTCCTAATCAATAAATTACTACTATGTCTCAATTTTCTTGTCATTATGTCACCTTTACTATATTTTAAGATCAAGCTAATTCTTCTTTCTTCATTAGTTCTTGTTTTATAAATATATAAATTTTATTTCCCAACACTAAATTAACTTCCACCTTCTTCTGCAGAAAATAAAAGAAACCGGGGGCAAAAAGAAAAGAAGAGGTGATGATGAGGATGATATTGATGGATATTTGGGTCGTAAGAATGGGAAGTCATCTAATAAGAAGGCAAAGAGAAAATGATGAGCAAACAGGTCTATAAGTTTTGATCTTCATATTCTTTGTTCATTTTGATCTTAGTGTAATATTTGGTCGGATTCCTCTTGCCATGAGTCCTTGCAAGGGGTAAATCTAAGAGAACTGGGATTGAATCCCCTTGTTTATTGCATCCCTTATCCAAATGAGCATATTTTCCTTGACCTGATAATATATCTTTTTTTCCCTGATTTTTATTGAGATCTTGAGTCTGTAAGCTACAACTCCTATCTCAGAAGGTAATTACTAGCATTTATCCGGTTAAATTGAATCATTGAGACAATCTCCTTAAACCTTGGTCGTAATTTCATATAGCTCTGTGACTCAATAAACTTCATTGGATGAAACTATCAGACCAAAAATGTTTACACAATAGAAAGAATAATTTGATTTAGGATTTAATAGCTTTCTTATAACTTATTTGGTACAGTTCGTTGCACATTATACAGAGAAAATATGCATACTAGAACTCTTCCATTATCTGCAACATAATACTCTTAATGACATGCATTGCTATGCACCCAATCGTCTATAGTAGCATGATTTATTTTGTTGTTGCAATATCGAATCTCTTGTTTGGCTCATTTTTGGAGCATACATATAATCCCAGTATTAGAACTGTTTAGAGTCTGAACTTGTGAATGTAGAATATGTTTTTTTGGAGCTTCATGTTCATGGGAATTTCCATTTGACTTCATTGACTTTGGATAGGCATATAAAACTCATTATCATTTTAACACTGAACAAGCAATAGGAATTGTAGAACATAAGAGTGGTTTTTATTATGTTACAAGCACCACCACCACCAGTAGCTATATATAATAAATTGTTGCATTTCACATAAATTGCTTCAACACATAGATAACACATGCATGCCTAGATTCCCAGTAGTACTTGTCAACAAGAAGTTGCTGTTGATAGTGATATCAAGCAGTGGCAACAGCTGTTGAAGGCTCCGGTTTAGGCTGTGCTGGTGGCTCTGCTGATGGCTGGGCCAGGGGGCCTGATTCGGGCTGTTTTGGTGGCTCCTCCACTGCTTGGGCCGGGGGCCCTGATTCAGGCTGTTTTGGTGGCTCCTCCAATGCTTGGGCTGAAGGCACTGATTCAGGCTGAGCTGGTGGTGGTGGCGGTGGTGCTTCCGATTCCCAAAATGAAGTTTTCTTTCCAGTCTTGGTAACAGTCTGGAGAACCTCATCTGGTTGCACATTCCCCTTCACTGTCACCTTCTGCTCTTCTATATTAATGTCAAAAGACTCTACACCTGAAAGAAGAGTTAGCAAGGAAGGTATGAGAATATGATTGTGGTGAGATGACAAGAATGTATGTATGTATATATGTACCTTCCATCTTGCCCAAAACCCTCTTGACAGCCCCAACACAGCCTTGGCATGACATTCCAACCTTGAGAACAACAGTCTGCCATTACAAACAAAGAAGCCTCAGTGTTGAAAGGATTAGCTATCACCACCACCATTGCTACCGCTCTGGTACAGTAAAAAAAAATTATTTGTATGATTGTTTACTCGTTACAATTAGGGGGTGTAAATGAGCTGAGCAGCTCGCGAGCGGTTCGGTCAAAGTTCAGCTCGAGCTCGGTCAATTTTGAACTGAAGCCGAGCTTGAGTTCAAATGTTTTAGGCTTGTAGCCCGTCAAGTCGTTTGCAAGCCATATATATATATATATATATATATATATACACATACACACAAAATTATAGCTGGGTGACTTGTGAGCATTTCAGTCAAAGCTCGGCTCGAGCTCAGTTAACTTTGAGCTCGAGCTGGCTCATTTCATAACTGAGCTGAGCTCAAGCTTCAATTTTTAAGCTCGAGCTTGGCTTGACTCATTTACACCCTGGTTACAATTAATAATTTGTATAGATTGGCATTTGTACACAATAGATCCGTGCTAACAGTATCGGTACAACAAAAAGAAAAAAGTATATATGGTTAAGTTTAGCATCTGAAATAACTGGGAAAACATTATGCGGAGTAACTTATATAGGAAAGGACCAGTTTAGATTACAGAGCAAAGCTTGAAACTGTCAAAGAAAGATATTACAATTAAAAAAAAAAAAAAAAAACACACACACACACACACACAAGATTAGCATGATCACTGGAAACTATGCTATGCCTAACCAAATTTGAGAACAATAAAACAAAAATTACAATTAATACAAAGTAAAAACTCATAAATTCCAATTAAAAATTGGAATGAAAAGAAGCAAGAACCTGAGACGACATGGTGAGGAATTGGATTCAGAGAAAGAAGAAACACAGAGGAGGATTGTAGCTACTTGGGTACTTTAGATTGAAGGGGTTGTTTGGCATTTATAAGAGAGTAAAAAAGGATTGTGGAATAAAATACTTTTTTTTTCCTGCTTTTTCAAGATTCCCATTTTCCTCTTCTTTTTTTGTTTTCAAGAAATTCCTCTCCGTAACGTAAAGGAATTTTTCCATGATTGATAACAACCTCCACTATTCCATAATTATTTCAACTTTTTATTTTTCATTGAGAGGTGATCCAATACACCAACATACTCTCTGCAAATTCTTTTGCCCAGTGGCAGGCCAACGTCTCAAGTGTAATTCAAAGGAGGCAAGTTGAAGTAGTCAAAACTTGAAACTCGATTGGATAAAAGATTGAAGCTTTAGTTCTAATTTTATGTGTTTGAGTTTGACTTAAGTAGATTCAATTTTACACAAAAAAATTGTAACAATAAATATTTTATAACTAAATATCATAACAAAACTTAATACGGAGTATTATATATAGATTATGTGCATTTTTGGCAAAGACTTATGGGCTTTCCTCATATGAGAAGTATTGTTTGCCATTAGTTATATCATGGACCAATGTCCATCATATGCATTGTGAACCATGTACAAATTATGTACATGTTGAAGTTAACGTATTATGTACCTACATTTAATATGTACATTCAATTTATTTACAGGTAAATAAGATGTTAAATACATGTATCTAATGTAGATTAGGTTCCACGTTGCGCATGGTAAATCTTGACCCACAATATAATTTGCAATTGTTTGCGACATTGAAGTTGTTTTTGTTTCTGTTTTCGGGTGCTCTCATCCTAGTGAATCCAAAAATATATATATTAGTTAATTTTGTAATATTATACTTGTTAATATATATAATATGTTTTTTTTTAAATCTTGATTAAGCTTGAAAACTGCTCGAGCAGATTATTAAGATGCTTGAATTCAACTTAATTCATCAATTAAACTATTAGAAATTGAATTGGATTATATTCAATAGTAACTATAATTTGAATAATTTAACTCATTTATACCCTTAAGTCCAAAATTTGCACTAAGCCACTACTCCGCATACAAATGATACAATGCCGCCTGCGTGGGCAGCTCAACTAGTTATAGAGGTGAAAATTGGAAAGAATGACCAGGGATCGAGTCTCACCAGCGACAGTGTGGGAGCAACCTTTCAAAATGAGAGAGCTCATTGTGCGCAATGAACAAAGGTCTAGCCTCTGTGATTTATGTTCAGTTGAGTTACCATAATTTATATCCTCCCAGATATTTTATCGGGTCGGAGTGTGGGGGCCTTAGAGTCGTGAAATGTAACAATGCTTTGTTGTGTACGTAACAACCTATTCCAAGTGGAAACCATGTCACTTCTTTATCCTATCTATAGTGGGAAATTTGCATATCATTATTTTAATGCTCTCCACAATTAATAGGATATATATATATATATATATATATATATATATATATATATATATTAATGACTGGTATGATACATCCATTTGGATAGATCAACGGTTGAAAGTTGCTGAAAAATAAAAGAAAAAATTACTATTGTTAATTTTATAAATATTACAAATTTGAAAGTTTGCTATAATTCTAAAATCAACTCCTCACATTTTTTTTTTTAAATCATCAACTATTGATTAACGTCAATGTACATTGAAATTAGTTCTTACTTTTTACAAATGACCATATTTTCATTTGAACTCGCTCCCCCCCTCCCTCCTACACACATCTAATGCATCGATTTTTTATCTGGACAATTGAAGGATGTATTTCATCTCAATTAAAATGTTAAACTAATAGATGGATTGCGTATTTATGTTTTATAAGGTTTAGCTCAACATGCACCTAACGTGTGCATGACCTTTCACATGAGTCTTGACTTAGGGCTGTGCATAACCCGTCCAACCCGCCCAACCCGACCGACCCGAACCCGTCATACTGGAATGGATCGGGAACCGAACCCGAATAGCCAAAACCGATCCGAGGCCGAAAACGACGCCGCATTAGTTGGGGCGGGGAGGGGGTTATATTTTCCACCCGAACCCGTCCGATAACTCGAACATTTCTAAGCCTACGTATAACCCTATGTAATACGACGTCGTGTAGCCTAAGTATAAATAGAAGAAAAAGCGGAGAAATCGCAAACCCTAGTCTCATTTGCGCAGCTCTTCATTCCCTTCTTCCAGAGAACTCTCTCAGTTCTCTCTTCTCTCTAGTCTCTACCCTAGTTCTCTCAAAGTCTCTTCTCTCAGACAGTCTCTTTGAGTCTCTGAGACGCTGAGAGCCTGAGAGTGTGAGTGTCTGTAGTGTGGAAGCTATTATTCTCCGGTGGAAGCTCTCAAGAGTCAAGCCCCATTCGTTTCCGGTAGCCCTCAAGCCCCAAGCGAGTCTCCGGTGGGAGCGATACTCCGGTGGATTGCAGTTCGCTGGCTAGGAGTCGAAGCCCTTTGTTCTCGGGGGTTTATTTTAGAGAAACGAAGTAATCTCTATTCTCTAAACCCTAGTTTTTAAGATTGTTAGTTTGATTGTTTGATTAGGGTTATTCTGATTGTGATTTTTTGATTTGTATGGACTGTGAGGACTGTGATCTGTTGAGAAGTTCCAGATTACTTACTCACTTGTCGCTAATTTAAGATTGATACTTTGATTGTTTGATTAGGGTTATTCTGATTGTGATTCTGTGATTTGTATGGACTGTGAGGACTGTGATCTGTTGAGAAGTTCCAGATTACTTACTCACTTGTCTCTAATTTAAGATTGATACTTTGATTGTTTGATTAGGGTTATTCTGATTGTGATTCTGTGATTTGTATGGACTGTGAGGACTGTGATCTGTTGAGAAGTTCCAGATTACTTACTCACTTGTCTCTAATTTAAGATTGATACTTTGATTGTTTGATTAGGGTTATTCTGATTGTGATTCTGTGATTTGTATGGACTGTGAGGACTGTGATCTGTTGAGAAGTTCCAGATTACTTACTCACTTGTCTCTAATTTAAGATTGATACTTTGATTGTTTGATTAGGGTTATTCTGATTGTGATTCTGTGATTTGTATGGACTGTGAGGACTGTGATCTGTTGAGAAGTTCCAGATTACTTACTCACTTGTCTCTAATTTAAGATTGTTGGTGGAAGCTTAATCTGTATGTGTGTAACTCACTAACTGAGTTAAAGGCTTAAAGGGGTAATTGTCCCTAATCTGGTGGAAGCCCTAGCCCCTTTGTGTGAAATCCATATATATGATGAGCATTATGAAGTGGCATACATCCACTTAGCTTGAATGCCTGAATATGGATTTCTTTGTAAATTGTAAATTGTAAATTGTATTAAGTTTATGGATATGGGACCCTTAAATTGTTTATGTGCAATTCTGCATACATGATGACATGTGAAATTAACTGAAAGTAAATAAGTAATATGTAAATATGTAATACTTCTATGTATGAGTACTGTATGGTGGAAGCTTTAGTATGATTGGTTGTCTGCTTTATTTGGATACTGATGCCCATCTTTATAGATGGAAAGCATCAGTGCAACTGGACACCCTCCAACCTCAACTGATGAGGAGCATGGAGTAGAAGCTCAAGGTACTGAGAGAAATCCTCAGACAAATCCTATGCCTTCTCCTCCTGTTGTTCCTACAAAGAAGAGGAAAGAGGTGGAGTCTAGATCTATAGTATGGGATCATTTTGAAAAGATCCGTGCTCCACCTGCTGAAGGTGAAACTGAGGGACCAGTAGTTGAGGGCAAATGCCATTATTGTGCCAAAATCTATAAATGTGAAAGTAAAAAGCATGGCACTTCCTCTTTGAAAAACCATATGAAGGCCTGCCTAAAAAATCCTCATTGTAAGGACACAAGGCAGTCTCTTCTCACCTTTAATGCCTCTGGAACAGAAGCTTCTGAGGGGGTTTTGGGGACTTGGGTTTTCAACCAAGAGGCTATTAGGAGGGCATTGTGTGAGATGATCATTGTTGATGAACTTCCCTTTAGGATTGTTGAGGGAAATGGCTTTAGGAAATTCATTTTAGTTGCTTGTCCTAGGTTTCAAATCCCTTCTAGGTGGACCATTTCTAGAGACATTTATCAGATTTACCTAGATGAGAGAATAACCCTAAAAAAGTTGTTTAAGGTGAGCACCCAAAGGGTCAGCTTGACCACTGATACATGGACCTCTGTCCAAAGGATCAATTACATGTGCATTACTGCACATTTCATTGATGATCAGTGGAAGCTAAACAAAAAGATCATTTCCTTTGTCCCAATTTCTTCTCATAAGGGAGAGTATATAGCCAAAGCCCTTGAGAGTTGTCTTCTTGATTGGGGGATTAGAAATGTGTTCACTGTTACTGTTGATAATGCCTCTTCAAATGACACAGCTTTGGGGTTTTTCAAGAACAAACTTCTGTCTTGGGGTGGGTCTTCTGTTAGGGTTCAATATATGCACATGAGGTGCATAGCCCATGTGTTGAACTTAGTGGTCCAGGATGGGTTGAGATATACAGGTCCTTCTGTTAAGAAAGTTAGAGATGTTGTGAGATGGGTGAGGAGTTCTCCTGCCAGACTTAAGAAGTTTAGAGAGATTGTTGTGCTTAATGGGGTGGAAGCCAAATGTGCATTACAACTTGATGTTCCAACAAGATGGAACAGCACATACATGATGCTTAACACTGCCCTTCAATACCAGAGGGCCTTTGAAGCTTATGAGAATGATGCCTCATTGAATGCTGACTTACCTGATTCTATTCCAAACTTTATGGATTGGCTTTCTGTGCAAAGCTTAGTCCATTTCCTGAAAGGCTTCTATGAGATGACTGTGAGAATATCTGGTTCTCTATATGTCACTTCAAATACTTTCTTTTCTGAGATTTCTGACTTAGGTTGCATGCTGGATGACATGGTTAACTCTGTTTCAACCTCTGAAAAGGTAAACTGTAAACTGGTATCATTTATCTGAATGTGTTTGTATGCATCTCTTAATTTTTTCTGTGTTATGTTTGTTTTATAGGATATGGGGTCCCATATGAAACAAAAAT